AAACACGTCCTCTCGCTGTACGTAAACACGTCCTCTCCCTGTACGTAAACACGTCCTCTCCCTGTACGTAAACACGTCCTCTCGCTGTACGTAAACACGTCCTCTCCATCTACGTAAACACGTCCTCTCCCTGTACGTAAACACGTCCTCACGCTGTACGTAAACACGTCCTCTCGCTGTACGTAAACACGTCCTCACGCTGTACGTAAACACGTCCTCTCCCTGTACGTAAACACGTCCTCTCCCTGTACGTAAACACGTCCTCACGCTGTACGTAAACACGTCCTCTCCCTGTACGTAAACACGTCCTCTCCCTGTACGTAAACACGTCCTCTCGCTGTACGTAAACACGTCCTCTCGCTGTACGTAAACACGTCCTCTCGCTGTACGTAAACACGTCCTCTCCAAGTACGTAAACACGTCCTCTCCCTGTACGTAAACACGTCCTCTCGCTGTACGTAAACACGTCCTCTCCCTGTACGTAAACACGTCCTCTCCCTGTACGTAAACACGTCCTCTCGCTGTACGTAAACACGTCCTCTCCCTGTACGTAAACACGTCCTCTCCCTGTACGTAAACACGTCCTCTCCCTGTACGTAAACACGTCCTCTCGCTGTACGTAAACACGTCCTCTCGCTGTACGTAAACACGTCCTCTCGCTGTACGTAAACACGTCCTCTCGCTGTACGTAAACACGTCCTCTCCCTGTACGTAAACACGTCCTCTCCGTGTACGTAAACACGTCCTCTCGCTGTACGTAAACACGTCTTCTCGCTGTACGTAAACACGTCCTCTCGCTGTACGTAAACACGTCCTCTCCCTGTATGTAAAAAGGGGACACAGCGGGATGAGGACAGTAATCAAAAAAGGACGGCAAAGTAGAATAATCGATCATACAAACGAGGCTCGGTGCAGTTTGGTTTCGTCTAACAAACTTCACATGGAGTCAAAGCGTGTTTCGCCTCCACATCCACGTCTGATGAACCCTCGAGCTTTTAGAAACACGGTCTTTGATGATCTGACCAAAAGTCTGAACTGATTATCTGTTCACGTAATAATAATGATAATAATCCAGAATAGAAAGGATGGAGAAATGGAGACGCTGTAGACGTCTTAACGCTGGTCACCGCATCACCTTTTCTCCTTGTCTCACAAACGCTGGCCGGCTAGACAAACATGTCCCTTTAGTCCTTTACTGTCCTCACAGAGACTGACTGTTTGACCCCCTCCACCTCAGAGCACACGAGTCTTCAATGACTTGGTTACAGTCGTCCTCTGAGACGTCTCACTGATGTCCCACAACGTCAAAGGCGGTTTATATCTCAGGGTTCAGCCTACCGATGACATGACGCGCGGGTTAACGACTTCATAGGTTAAAGCGTTAAAGACCAGAGCTTCAGCAGCAGTGACCAATGAGGGTGAACGTAATCAAAGGGGTTCTTAGGGCTCATTTAGGGAGTCACTGTCTTGAGGAGTCCAAGGTCAGAGGGCAAAGCAGAAAGTGGCAACCGGGCAGACGCAGGTCTGATAAGGACGAGAGGAGGACCTGCTCCTCCCCCACGCCAATAGAATCTTTTCTTCTATATCTAACAAGTACAAAACGCAGCGTTCTTCCTGATGTCAGTCAGTTGTTCTTCGGCCTGCGGGCGACAGAACGGCTCCTGCCTTTGCAAACGCAGCGCTGATACTTGAGCTGTGATCTGACAAATAAATCTACCACAACGACAGAAGTTGTTTGGCTGAATCCAATTTTCATCACGTTCGTTCGTTCTTTCACACTGAGTTACACAGTTAACAGCCACACTGATGCATGCTGGGAAACCGGTCTGTTCAGACACGAGGACGTAGCGACTCACTCGCTAAGGCTTCTGTCCCTCCTCATGGGGGACACAACCGGCGCAGAGAGACACGCCTTCCTCAGGGGGACGTTACTGCAGGTTGAGGAGAGGGGACGCACAGGTAGGGGAAGGAAAAGAGGGTAAGACAGGAAGAGAGGACAGTAGGAAAGGTAGTAAAGACAGAAGGATTGGTAGAGTGGACAGGTGGAGAGGACATGTTCGGAAGGGAAGAACAGGTAGGGAGAAAAGGTGGAGACAGGAAGGACAGCAAGGTGATAGGAAGAGGGAGTACAGGAGAAATATAAGGACATTGATGATGGACATTACAGTGTAAGGACTGTAAAGTAAAAGGGACGTAAGAAGTAAGAAAAGGACAAGGGACTTAACACGCTGCTGATCATCACTTCCTTAATGAACTCCAAAATAATATATAATAAAAATAATAATGCAAAGGACGGGTTGAGCTTTTATTGTGAAACCAGAGGGTAAAGTGTTTCTGGGGTTCATCTAGAAACAGTCTGGTCAGACGTCATGTGACCCGGACTGATCCAATCACAGCCTCCTACAGTACGATGACGTCCGGTGTTCCCTCAGGTGAGACAAGTCAGAGGTTAAAGGTCATGTGTCCTCACCAGCCGTAGGTCTTCTGTGGTTTGGGCATCGGGTCGTCAAAGAACGAATCTCCGCCCTCCTCCTCCTCCTCCTCCTCCTCCTCCTCCTCCTGGTCTACGTGCCTCCTCTCGGGGCCCAGAGACGCCCCACCGGGTCTGGACCGTGGCAGCTGGACGTCTACTTTACCCAGAGAGGCCTTACTGTCCAGGTGCTGAGGACACGGAGACATGACAAGAGGGACATGAGACATGTGATGTCATCAATGAAGTACTGATATTAAACAATGAGCGGATGTTGTTTAGTGTGTTAGATGGATCATATATTTCATTATATCGTAAAGGTAAACCGATGATGTCACAGGACCATGACTGTGTGAATGTCCTCCTTTAAGGCTGACGGGCATCTGTTCATACAGCCAATCACACTGCATTATGTACTTCATCACCAGGTGGAGTAAACTCACCTTACTGACAGGCGAGTGGACCTTCTGCTCAGGAGACCCACCCGAGGAGTCCTGAAACACCTGGAGGAGGAGGAGGAGGTCAACAGGAGACACTTCTGTACACAATATACATGGAGCTCTTTGATGACGGACGGCACCTGAACTCACCACAGCTCGGCACTGGGAGAAGAGACGCTTGTAGAAACCCACGAACATCTGGAAGTCAACAGCTGTGAGACAGCAACCAGAAACAGGACATGAGAGTTAGTGTATACATCCGTATATACATCCATATGTATATACGGATGCAGTAGAGGAACGTACGTGCATACATATATACATATATACGTATATACGGATGCAGAAGAAGAACGTACTGCAGGGGAAGCTCTGGTCTGCAGCGCGGAGCTCATCGGTGATGAAGTGCTCCAACATGGTCCTAAGGAGACACGTGTCCTTAGTTAATAACTCATGAACCGGCAGCTTCTCTTTGCCAGTCAGCTGAACATCAGGATATTATTATGTTAGTTTTTAGTCTGAAAAGAACACAACAACTTTCATAAGATTATTTAAGAAGCTGAACTAACGTTTTTTAGGGTGATAATATAAAATGTGTTTTGTTTGTAAATTAAATTCACTATAAATCATATAAAATACACATTCATGACTGTGGTCTCGATTTTCAAAATAAAAGTCCTCATCTATAGAAACAGAACGATGATGAATCGAAGTAGAGACTTAGAACATGACTTTCACAGCTTCTCCTCTCAAACAATCATGATGTCATAGCTCAGAATTTTCTGTTTTTAACTGACTCTGATTAAAGGAATCAGTTTATTTGAGGAGAGATTTAAAATCTAGAGACATTTAGAATAACATGTTTTTGATGAAATAATTATTTCATGGATTTATTTTAGTTGTTTTTCTGACAGAAGCGTTTGTCACACATGAAAGCGCATTCAAGGACCATCGGAAAGAGGAAATAATGACGGCCTTTAGGTAACGTGTCCTGTGTGTCCTACTTGTTCAGACCGGGGAACAGATCTGTGAAGACGTTCTTCACATCTTCTCTTCCAACCGAGCCGCTCCCGTCCTGAAGAACCACAGCACATTAGCCAGGCTGTGATTGGCCAGAGACTGATGACATCACACAAACACACACACACGCACCTTGTCGTAGAGGTCAAACGTCTTCTGAGCGAGTGTGATGCGTTTCTGAGACGGCTCCTATGATACAACATCACTTTATTTCATCCGTCAATCAGAATAAAACAGAAAGTGTGTTCTACTTATGTGTAATATGTTCTATATTCAGAGCCTTTATGTCAACACGCTAACCCGTCTCACCTCAGAAGCTTTGTGTCGTCCTCTCGTCACCAGCTCCAGCAGCAGAGGACACTTCCTGTTCACCTCAGACTCTGAGAGACCAAGATCTCTACAGACAACTTCACGACTGTCCACGCTGTTGAGCTGATCACAGGAGAGAGACACATGAGGGACACATGAGAAAGACAGGAGAGAGCCACATGATTGAAACCAGGGAGAGAGGGACACGTGAGAGACTGAAACAGTGAGAAAGAAAGACAGCTGGACAGTGAGACAGACTCTGCGTCCTCACACTCGCCGAGTTGGTCTCCGGCTGGAACACTGCCAGGCTGAAGTCGAGGTTAAAGACCTGCAGGAAGTCAACGATGAGACCGGCCACCAGACGTCCTGCAGAGAGACGACACCTGAACACATCGTCCTCACTGATCGGCACTTCTTAAGTCATGTGACCAGAAGTCCCTCCTCCTGCTGATCTGAACACTGATGGGTTGTTGTTATTTACAATGTCTCGTGATCAGAGGCGAGAAAACATAATCACCATCAATGAATATTGGAGAAGCTCACCTACAGCTTGTTCCTCCAAGAACCAATGAACCCTTTGTCTCAAACATTAAGAGCGTTAAATAGGAATATTATTAAAGACAGGTAGAGAATATTCAACCTTCAGGAGCTTCATTGTTAGATGTCTAGCAGGAAGTGTAAACAGCTGTAAATTACACCAGAGAACAAGAAGTTCTTCTGGTTAGTTTAAAGGCTCAATGCTCCACCTTCTGGTGACAAACAGGAAGTACGGAATAAACTGCACTGATGATTGGAGCTCCATGTACACTGTGGTGTGATGACACCATGGAACAATCCCAATGCCCCCTAAAGGAAACGCTACTGAGCGTGCTCAGTGGGACCAGTGATGAGGAGGAAGATGGACCGATAGACCCAAGACTACGTCCTGACCCCCCAGGGCCTCACTGAGGTCACCTGGTCAGTGGTGGAGTGTTAAAATGGTGTAAATGTCAACGGGACAGCACATGGAGCAGAAGAAGAATGAAGACTCACCGTCTCTGGTGTTGAGACATTTCTTCAGGTTCTCGTTGACTAGAGGACTTTTATTCTGAAAGAAACCCATAATAAACATAGTTTACTATCTCCATAAGAAGCTTTATTATAACCAACAGCAGCCTGGACCGTCACCTCCAGTTTGTCCTGCTCCTCCATCGCCAGGAAAACAGCTGCCCTCATCTCTGCCTGCAGGAGGAGACAGACCCCCCCAACGAAGAACAAATTCAGACCGATGTGCTTTAATGATTAAATATCAGAATAAAATTGAACTGTTAAACTTCTATAAACCGGTGAGAATGTGTCACATTAGTGTTACCCACGAACGGCAGCGCTAATATTAGCCTAGCATTGCTAACCCTACGATAGGTGCCAACAGGTCCGCCAACGAGTCGCTTGGATACTTTGACAAAACTTTGACGGAGTGTTTCGGACCTTGAGCTTGTTGAGGACTCCGTTGTTCTCCAGGTTCTGGATCAGCAGGTCCCGCAGCTCGGTGTCGTCCTCTGTAGCTGACATGTTTAGCTTGAAGTTAACTGCCGGGACAACAAAAGCAAAACAAACCAACCCGGAAGTCTTCTTCTTCTACTATTTAATCTCTGGTGTTCTAAGAGGACTGCGTCGCCTGCAGGCCGGAAACAGCGAGCGAACAGAAATGTAAAGTGTGGTTTTTATTCTAGAAATGATTCGTGGAAATTAATTAAATTGTTGTGTTTTCAAAAATATAGACACTGTTAAGTCTTTTTTATTGTAGCCTGAAAAAAATATCGTATTATAATGGTTTTTTTTCTCAGAAGATTTTTACATTACATTTTCTTAAAAGGAAAAGATGATTTATTTATTTGTATTTTACTTAGTTGTATGTTTGTCTTCCACACCTCAAAGATACATAGTAAAGCTAGTACCAATTAATAACACGTGTAATAAAGCGATGTCTTTTTTATTGATAAAACCTCACAAATACGTGTTGATAATAATGTGTTGCTTGGATCAGCATGCACCACCTGGATTCTCTGTTTGTACTCGATTTGTTGTTCCAGCAGATGAATGACAACAATCAACTTTCATGGAGATCCAGATGTTTTTATTGTGAAGCATCATCTCATCTTCCATTACCAAACACTTCTGTCACATTAACGCTTGTTGGCGCTTTAAGATAAACAAGTGAAGAAAGAAACACCAGACTGATTATGACGTCATATGAGAAACATCTGGAACAACCTGTAAGCAGGGAGAAGGTCCATCTCAGTATGCAGAGGATAAAGGTAAAAGAGACGTGAGGAGGAGGGGGGGGGGTGGAATGAAATAAAAAAATGAGGAAGGAGGATAAAAGGAGGAATGAAAATACAAGAATAAGAGGAACGAGGAGAATAAAAGGAGCAGTGTGGATGTGTGAGGAGTGGGTCTCAAAGGGAGGAAGGGAGGGGGGGCAGACGGTCTGAGAAGGAGGAGGAGGAACAGGAAGAAGAGGAGGAGGAGGAGGAAGGAGCATCAGCAGCAGGACAAACAGACACACAAACGGACCATCGGCGGATCACGGAGCCTCCGCCCGCCCGCCTCTGAGCCGCCAGAAGCAGGAGGACCGGCGCGGACCCGTAGCGATGGCCGCCGAAGACAGCCGATCCACGGCCTGCACCGGCTCCAGCCTCCTGCAGCCGGTCAGCGAGATCACCAACCTGCCGCTGGACCAGGTGAGATCCTCCGGGATGGGTCCCGGAGCTCCGGCTCCCCGGTGCTCCGGTGCTCCGACAAGCCGAGAATAAAGCAACGTGCGCGGCCAAGAAAAAAAATGAGTCGGATCGGACCGATCGTTTGAAAATTGAAGGAGGCCTCGAACACAGAGATACAGAGACAGACAGACAGACAGACAGACAGACAGAGACAGAGAGAGACTGACAGAGACAGACAGACAGACAGACAGACAGACAGAGACAGAGAGAGACTGACAGAGAGACACTAAGGGACCTGAAACATTGTGTCCAGTGAAACGGCAGCTAGCTGGTGTGATGATGATGATGATGATGATGATTGAAGAGAATCAGGATAAATCAGAGATCAGCTGATTGACGTTGAGGTCACGATGTATGTGAACACTGGCACTAACAATAATAATTATAATAACAGCTCCTTGTAAACAATGAAATATTAAATACAAAATAAAATTTCATTCAATATTGGACTAGTTTCAGGGACTTAGTAGTACATTGATTTAATCAACCCTATTTATTAAAATATGTTTGAGTATTTAGTCAAATAAAAGTGCATAATTAAGGATTGCTGTATAACACAGTGACGGCCCCTTAGAGTAACCTGGTGACCTTCCGGAGGGCCCAGAACCTCAGGTTGGGCCCTGCAGGAATGCACTGATTTTTGAATATTTGTATATGAAAGTACCTAAATACTTACCAAGGGGTAACTATGAAGTAACTGCTGTATAAAAATAGTGAAGAGTGAAGTATAAATGCTAACTATTTTTGTTTGATTAGTTTGGTCCATAGGATGTAGTTTATGACCACCAGGTTAATCAAATGTCTCGTTTTGTCAGACATCCAAAGAGAAAAGTAGAAATATAAACTTAATTTATAATGTATTAATTGGTTATTAATCTATTGATTAAGTGATTCAATAGGAACATCAAAGTGATTTTTTTTACCTGGGAAAGGGTTTTACGACTTCAGATGAACCTTCACACACCCCATCTGTAGAGAAACTAGTCTGTAGTTGAACTAGTCTGTAGTTGAACTAGTCTGTAGTTGAACTAGTCTGTAGTTGAAGTCTGTAGTTGAGCTAGTCTGTAGTTGAAGTCTGTAGTTGAACTAGTCTGTAGTTGAACTAGTCTGTAGTTGAAGTCTGTAGTTGAACTAGTCTGTAATTGAAGTCTGTAGTTGAAGTCTGTAGTTGAATCAGTCTGTAGTTGAAGTCTGTAGTTGAAGTCTGTAGTTGAACTAGTCTGTAATTGAAGTCTGTAGTTGAACTAGTCTGTAGTTGAAGTCTGTAGTTGAACTAGTCTGTAGTTGAAGTCTGTAGTTGAAGTCTGTAGTTGAAGTCTGTAGTTGAACTAGTCTGTAGTTTGAACTAGTCTGTAGTTGAAGTCTGTAGTTGAACTAGTCTGTAGTTGGACCGCAAGTGAAAACCCAGACATACACAAGCGATCGCAGAATTATCCTGGCAGAGAAAATAACATAAATACTACTAATAATATGAATAATACTACTATATGTACCTCTAATAAGCTAAATACTAGTTTTAGTACCACTAATAACATAAGTACTATTAATAATCCATTTTGTCCTTAACTGCCAGGTAAACTTTGTGGCGTGTCAGCTCTGCGCCTTGCTGTCGGCCTTCTGGTTCCGTCTCTTCCTCCATCCCAGTAGAACCAGTCCCGTCATCAGACACCTGGTGGCCACCTTACTGGGACTCTACTTCGCTCTCTTCTGCTTCGGCTGGTGGGACACAACACTCTCAGTTGTTACATTAACATAGTTAGAGGTTTTTTTCATCAAGTATTCTGAGGCTTTACCTCAGTAATTGTATTACTGGCACGTTGTTAAAATAAAATGTGCTTCAGTTAAAGTACAAGTTAAAGTACAAGTCAAGGTAGAAATACAAATGGAAAGCCTTGACTTGTACTTTCCATTTGTATTTCCATTTTTCGAGTGACGCCGAGTGCGAAAAGTGGTCGGTGGAAGGTTCCTTTGTCAGAACGGCAGGTTGGGTGGTCGGTGGAAGGTTCCTTTGTCAGAACGGCATGAGCCGATCTCAGTTGGGTATTTAGCGACATCCAAATTCCATGTAACGTTAAATGAGTATCTTCTTGACCGTGGGTTTGCCGTAAACGTTTTTTTCTGACTTTATTGAGAATCTAGCAGATCACAGCAACTTGCAAGTAGCATAGCGTCTTAAATAAAGTGAAAGCTGTCAGTGAAAAATGGGCTCTCGTTTTATTTATTTCGATACACAACCTGCCGTTCTGACAAAGGAACCTTCCACCAACCACTTTTTCTCACTCGGCTCTACTGCTACTTTCATTGTATTTCCATTTTCTACTAATTTGTGCTTCTACTTCATCTCAGAGGTAAGTATACAGTTTTATGTGAGAGCTTCAGCTTGATTGGTTAGTTTCTAGGTATATATATATATGTATGCAGTATATACATATAAATATTCTTTAGTACCTTAAGCTTATTTTGATGCTGAATCTTTTCAGCTTTTTTATCCTTACTCAATAAACATTGTGAATGAAAACCTTTACTCCAACAATGTATTTGTACACTGGAGTTTATGTACGCAGTGGTGTTTGTACACTGTCGTATTTGTGCATTGTGGTATTCTTACACTGACTCATTTAATGAAGTCAGGTGTTTGTTTGCTGGCGTTTGATTGGACGCTGACGTTTGCCTTCTTGTTTGTTCAGGTACGCTCTTCACTTCCTGCTTCAAAGCGGACTCACCTACGGCATCATGATCATCACTGGAGTGGAGCACATGCACAAGTGAGCCTCAGGAAATCTTTGTGAGACCACGGAGGATCAGCAGGAACCCAACGGGATGTTTGGAGGATCCGGTTCAGTGCTTTCAGGCCTTCTTTGGGACGGAAATACCCAGTTGTCATGGAGATGGTTCATCATGGGGCGAGTGGAGCCGCTGACCCTGGTCCTCCACTTGATGCATGTCCCTGATCTTAGACTCTGATCCTGCAAGTGTTGGTCGGAGACCTCTGTCCCTGGTCCTCCACTGGGTTCTGGTCTTTAATCTTAGACCTGATTACACAGTGGTAGTAGTGAGGAAACCAGTTCATGGATGTTGGTTTCATTGTGGCTGTAATTGACACTACAGCCCATAGGGGTGTTGCGGCAGGCTAGCACCAGTCCGGTGAGCGCTAACGAGGACCTCTGTGTGTTTTCAGGTACTGCCTCTTGGTGGCCCTCAGCTATCTGAGTCTGTGTCAGATCACCCGGGTCTACGTCTTCGACTACGGCATGTACTCTGCCGACTTCACAGGGTGAGAGACATTGCCACGTCCTTTGTCCCCCTCTCCCTCTCCTCACTGCATCACCACAGGCTTCTGTCTCTTCTCTCTGCAGACCAATGATGGTGATCACGCAGAAGATAACCAGCCTGGCCTTTGAGATCCATGACGGTGAGGAGGCGGCGCCCTCGGGGTGGTGGGGGGTCACATTATCGGTTTAGAGTCAGATGTGTTTTTGTTCTCCTCGCACAGGGATGGCACGCAAAGAGGAAAGCCTGACTCCAGGACAGAAGATGTTGGCGATAAGGTTTGTTTTGTGGTTTCCTGGCGACAGGCCTTGTACCCCCTTGGCATGGAAACCAGAGCCTCACTGGTCTTTGCATGTCCACAGGAGGATGCCCAGTCTGCTGGAGTACTTCAGCTACAACTGCAACTTCATGGGGATCCTCGCGGGACCCACCAGCTCCTACAACGACTACATTGCCTTTATCGAAGGGGATCCCTGTCGCCATAGAAACCAGGGGGGCGATAGGAAGTCCAGCGGCAGGCTGAGGAAGAGTGAGCCCTCCCCAAACGTACGGCACATGACCACTTCATTGCATCAAATCAAACACATTTAATTGGGATCAGATTTGGACAGACTGAGGGACATATTGATCCCTGAATACCATTTATTCTCCTTGCGAGTTTTTAAGAGGGATCCTTGATCCTTGAAAGAAGATATATCCTCAGCTCGTGATGATGTGGTCTCCATGGTTACATAAGTAGCAGTAACTGGGCAGGGCTTAGCAAGGCTTAGCGAAAGGTTAACTCTGGCTTTCTACATGTAAAACTTTATGGAAATGTCTCAGAAAGAAAGATTTCCTGAGGGAAAAGCAACACATCGTCTGCATAGCGACTGATTTTTATGTCGTATGAGCGTCTTTATGTTTGTTATGTAATGTATTCATTTTAGTTCAATGAGATGTCAGAGTGAGACAGGACGTTACAAAAAGCAGTCAAAGCTTTCTGTCTTGTTGTCTGCGTCCACGTCTCATGAAGACAAACCTAGACTCCATGTGTGTTCGCTCAGACAGAGGTGGTGCGTAAGGTGGCCTCCTCCTTTTTCTGCCTGCTCGTCTTCCTGTCGGTGTGTAAAGTTTTCCCGGTGGAGCAGAACATAGACGACGACTTTATCGCCAACACGCCGTTCTACGCCCAGGTGGTGTACCTGTACCTGTCCATGCTGACCACCAGGCCCAAGTACTACTTTGTATGGACGCTGGGTGGGTGTCTAGGACCTCGCTCCTTCTTCTCCTTTTTCCTCTTCTTCTGCCTCTCTTCTTCTTCATCTTCCTTCACTTCTTATTCCTCCTCACGTTCCTGTGTTATTGTAAAGCAGCTGAGCTCATTATTCACAATACATCACATTTACATTACATGTCATTTAGCTGACGCTTTTATCCAAAGGATACAAACTCAAAAGAACAAGAAACAAGAAAGTGCAAATTCATCAAATGCAATTTAATTGCAATTTGCATTTTTACCAATTTACAACTTGCTATAGATAATAGTCATTGTAAGTACAATTAAAGTGCCACAATTTGTTTTGTGTTTTTTAGTCAAGGTAGAGTCTGAAGAGGTGTATCTTTAGTTTGAGGCAGAAGATGTTGAATAAGGCAACATAGCTTCATTTAAACATCAGATTTAACCGAGTTTGTGATGTTGGAGACGCATGTCCAGAAGAAGAGAAGGAGAAACACACTTAATTAGAAACATAGAGGAAGGGATATTTAAGTTATTTCAGTGGTATAAATGTTGTTGGATGTTAATGAAATTATTAATGTAAACTGGAATATTCCTATATAAATAGGAAGTTTTATTTTATTTTGTGTAGACACACTTAAATGTACATACATGTATACACATATGCATTTGTGTATATATATTAAGGGCTGGGCAAGTCAATGCGTTATTAGCACGTATATGATTAACCACACTTACAATGCAATCTTTTAAAATAAGTAATTATTATTTTGAAAGTGCGTTGCCTCCTGTCTCTGAATACACAGCAGTACTGTGTGTATATATATATATATATATATAAATAAATCATGGAATTAACTTATTACAAGGCTTCATCATCCTCTGGAGGACCTGAACAGGTCTTGCCTCTCTCTCACCCTCAGCTGACGCCATCAACAACGCTGCCGGCTTCGGCTTCAACGGCTACGACAGCGACGGCTCTCCTCGCTGGGACCTCATCTCCAACCTGAGGATCCTCAACATCGAGGTCCGAACCTAATTCCCTCCTCACCTTCACAGAGAGTCACTCAGGACATTTCGCTCTTCCCAAACGCCTGATTTTCTCTGTTTCCTTTCAGTTGGCCACCAGCTTCAAAGTGTTCCTGGACAACTGGAACATCCAGACGGCTCACTGGCTCAAAAGGTCAGCGCGCATTCCTTCTGTGTTCATTGGTTTCTGGTGTTCTTTATCTTCAGTAGAACCACAGTACCTAAACATCAGGGAGATATCTATCACTTTGCGTTTTCTTTATAAATGTCACATTAAAACCGTCCTCTTGTCTTATTAACTCGGCGACAGTATGACAATACAAACATGTTGTGGATCATGTTGATCAGGTTTTAAACGTTTGGCACTTTTGGGGAGTTTAGAACTCAGCTTTATCTCAACACTTATTAACCGGTTCTGATATGCTGCCTTGTGCTCCAATTTGGGGATCTTCTGAGACTTGATATCTTTACTACAATTCAAAATAAAGCAGTAATACTAGTGGGTGAGTTTAGAACTCATAGTTTTATCTCAACACTTATTTAAACTATAAGAGACAGCTAGCTGTGGTTTAAAATGTTCATGGCAACACATGATTCTGGTCGACAGGGTGTGTTACGAGCGATGTCCCTACCACCCTACGGCGGCCACCTTCATCCTGTCCGCCATGTGGCACGGAGCTTATCCGGGCTACTACCTCACCTTCCTCACCGGCATCGTCATCACGCTGGCTGCCAGAGCGGTGAGCAGTCCTTGCTAACTGTTAGCAGTTAGCTTGTAATGCTGATAACTAATTGTTAGATGTTATCTTGTTTTCATGATAACTAACTGTTAGCAGTTAGCTTGTAATGCTGATAACTAATTGTTAGATGTTATCTTGTTTTCATGATAACTAACTGTTAGCAGTTAGCTTGTAATGCTGATAACTAATTGTTAGATGTTATCTTGTATTCATGATAACTATCTGTTAGCAGTTGTTTATAATCCTGATAACTAACTATTAGCAGTTAGCTTGTAATGCTGATAACTTAGCCTGATGGCTAACTGTTAGCAGTTAGCTTGTAATTATGATAACTTAGCCTGATGGCTAACCATTAGCAGTTAACTTATAACCCTGATAACTACAGCTATTAGCTGAATATTAGTCCACTAACCTTAAGGTTTTATTCTCTCAGGTCCGACACAACGTTCGACCACACTTCTTGAAGTCGCCCACTCTCAAGCGGGTCTATGATGTCATCACGTGGGCAGCCACTCAGATTGCCATCTGCTACACAGTGGTGCCTTTTGTCCTTCTGTCCGTCGGCCCGTCCATCAAGTTCTACAGGTCCGTAAGCAGGTTGGGGTTTAGCTCAGTTTGACCTGGAGCAGGTCAGGCTAACCTTATTGCCTCCCTCCCTGCAGGTCCTGGTATTTTGGCCTCCACATTGGTTGCGTACTGCTAGCCTTGGCGCTGCCGGTCAAACCGAGACATCTCCGCCTCAAAGAGGAGCAGAAAACCCTTTTACAGGAGCGGGTCCAGCACCACCAGGAGGCTACAGACAGCAACTGCCGCCAGAAGGAAAAAGACACATGAGACGGTGGACAAGGAACAATCATGTACAACATTTTATTTCCATAAACTTGTATAGAGAGAATAGAAGGTGAACCACATCAAACGGACCTTCCTCCTGTCCAGGTTCTGAAACATCAAGGTCACGACCGCAAGTTTAAAATACTGTATCATTTGGATTCACAGGACGACGCCAACAAAGGTGGGCCCTGGACATACGGAGGCCTGGGTTGTGGGACGCTTGACGTGGTATGCAAGGACTCAAAACAGAAGAGTATTTTTTGGGGGGCCAAGGAGCAGATTCAGGTTAATAATGTGCAATGATGGAAGATACGGTGTGTACATGTGTATACATGTATGTATATATATATACATGTATGTATTTAGGTACTATCACTTCCCAGAGGGCAGCTCTCTTGCAGTGACATGGCCGTCCTCTACGTTGACTCAGCTGATGAATGAAAGGACGATTTAACGAGCACATGAATGAGAAGAGAACAAGCAGCCGGTTGGTGCATTAACAAGGAAACCAAGAAGCTCCACCACATTCCTTCCAGACCATCTGACTCATCGTGCTGTAATCTATTGAACCACAACGTCACAGTATTCGTTGAGTTATAGTTTGGAGAAAGTGCCAATGATTATTACACTCAGTCGCCTTAGTTGTTTGGTCTTTTAAAAGAAAAAGTGCTTCTTAGCAGGATAAGTGTTAACTTTTTGTTGGCGTGTGAGTGATGACGAGGGGGTTGTGTTTACATTTGTAGATGTCACGTTTTTTGTCCAGTTGCTATTTATGTAATTTAGAGACGTGTTGTGATGTAAGATGATGTAAGACAAAGAAAACGTCTTACTGAAGTTTCGGACCAGAGCTTGAACCCACAAACTAAAGCTCTGTCATGTGAAGTTAAAATACAGGCTCACATTAGAAGTTAAGCAGTTGTCTTCGGGTCAGCTCGTGGTTTTGGCCACACGGTACCGGTTGAATTTTTCAGTTGCTCGCTGACGGACCTGCGACAAAATCCGGTTGGTAGATGTGAAGGTTTAAGGTTAAACCTCAGCTGTGTCGTCAGATGGAACTGGTCCCGTGACGGCGCCGAGTCAGTCAGCTGAGGTAAAACTGTGGGTTCTAGATTAGCCGGGTTTCCTTCTGGGTATGTAGGCCTCTTAACGTGTGCAGTTGTGTTTCTCTCGTTGCCTCATTGACTTTACAGTATTATAACGTTGTCCATTTTGTAATCGCTTTTATCTGCTTGAAGAAAGTTTTACAAAATATCCTATAAAACCTCCATTTATAATAAAAAACTCCTAACTGACTGGTCTGAGGTGTCCTGTCAGCGCTTTCACAGTGTTCTGGGCTGCTGGGGGATGTTTCTTTGTAATGAGGTGCTTGATTAGCAGATCAGGCTTCTAATTCAGCTCTGATTAAACACCGATGGCGTCAACACTTGGTTTAGTTGAGCAGCTCCGTGAAAACAAATCACACCACAACAGCTCAGTGTGGCTTAACGGCAGTTTAGCTACTTTAGCATAGTTACGTAGCCAGATTAGCTCACACTTTTTTAGCTAAATACATCTGATCAACTTTAACAGTTTGTTATCAGGTTATGATTTAATTTGACCAGCTGGAAGTTCTTCTTCCATTGCTGAAGCATCACGCCACGTTAGCATGGCCATGTAGCCCGCTAGCTTCTTCTGCTGATCCATCTCCTCCTCTCCTCCATGTTGGCTTTTTAATTAGTGTCACGTGGACGAGAGAACAAAAGGCTTTTTGGTTCCACAATATTTTTCACCACCAACTTGTTCATTGTTACTTGTCACTTTTGGCAGATTTAAGAAAGCAGGTTTATTAATGTTCCCGTCATGTTTGTTTCCCTCATTTTAGAACAAACGATGACGACGTTCACAAAGACAAATGGTCTCACGTGTCCGTAGGTTTATATGGAAAACATGTTTGTTTGTTTTTTGTAAACCATGTGATTAAACCTTGGATTTTTTTGACATCTACCATTAAGTGTGTGTGCTGTTGGGGTTTGTGGTTGTGAGATAAGGGCCTACCTGTGCAAGGAAGATAAGAACGATCCTACTTTCTGCACTTTAAACCCTGATAAGAGGCTGACACGCCGCTACGCTGTTCATGACACAGTATAAATGATATTAATTCCTCAGATGAAGAATGTAAAACACACCAGCAGGCTTCAGGTACCACACAGAAGCATTAATACACATATAGCACAGGATGTCATCATGTTAAAGACCGGAACAGAGATTAAAGTAAAGGACTTGATCAGCGGACAGATAAGAAACTGGTGGGATGTTTCATAATGTATGATGATCGAGTTATGTGCTTTTTTGTGTATATCGCCATGAAGATCATGTTTATTCCTTAAAACTGACATTTAAAGTTAAAAAGACCTTCAAAATCATTTCAAAAAAGGAAGGAAAACAATGATATAATATATCACCTCTATTCTCTTCACTGAAGAACAAATCTCGTTATTATAGTCAGCCCATTCAAAAGGTAAGTTGATTTATTTATGGAGTCATTCCTCGCTTCCGGCCTTCACAGTAAAGGTAGTGTCAGCGTTCATTCGCAGTGAATGAATGCTGTGCTGTGGTGCGGTCGCTGCGTGTGCTTTTATTCTGGCAGTGGCTAGCGGAAGCCTTACTCTTATTTTCGCGGGCTTGACTTAGCGACGGGCTGCGGTTGGTGGTTGTTCTGATCAAGATGGCTGCTGTTGTTCTGGATGGAGAATAAGACCGAGCTTTCATCCGAACATAGGCCGAGGAAACGCACCGAAACACGCATAGCAACCGGTACCGACACACGACTGGACCCAAATCCGGATCCCCGGAGCCGAACCCGATTCTCTCGTCAAGGTAAACGCGGTGGTTGGCCCGTCAGCATCCTCTCCGGTCATCGATCCGGGTTTGATTGACAGTTCGATCAGGAAAAAGAATGGAGAGAAAGGTTTCCGGTTATTTATCCGATATGTGTGTTTGTTGTTGATCGATTCATTAGCGGGCGATGAGATTAGTCGGTGTGGTTGAACGTGTTCTTGTTCGTCTGCGGTTTGATAGTATGAAGGTTGTTCATGTTGGCGCAGTGTAATAACACAGTAATAAAACATCTACAGTGCTGCTGTGTACTAATACCACAGCAGTGTTTACTATCACTATTTATTGAACATGACGTCATCCCCATTAAAGCGTTTAGGCGAACATTAATATGTGAATATATCTACATGTTTACATTTAAGTATATTTGATGTTAAAATATATAGATATATTATGTATACATTACATTAGTATTACATACTAATATATATGTATATATTAATTGTATGTATATATTAATTTAAAAAAAACATTAAAATAATGCTCTTATTATGTAGATATATTATATATTAAATACTAATAAACAATCCTTAAAATGACTAGTGTTCCCCTTATAAAGATAAATGAATAGATATAACATATATATCACAATTAATCTCATTCATACTGCATTTAAATACTTGTAGTGGTATACGAACTATAGTTAACAACGTTATACAATCTTACATGATGACGAATACCCAAAAATATATATATATATTCCTTCCCCCTCAGTCTGTGAAGGCTGTTTCCATGGCGACGCTGGAGCAGCTCAATGAAGGGCTTTTAGTTGTCCAGCAGTGGTGCTGACCTGAGGTCAGTCCAGGGCTGCGACCTCGGCGTGTGTGAGCTCACTACTGAGTCTACTGTATGTGTGTGTGTGTGTCTGCAGGGTGCAGCAGTGACACACACAGACATGGATACCACTACCTCCATCAAGATGACCACCCTGGCCATCCAGAACCTGTTCAGCTACGTGGAGGAGGAGAACCTGAGCGCTCTCAAGGCTCACCTGGACCGCTTCAAGGAGGTGGACGGACGCAGCGACGTACGTATTCCTCCCCCCGCTTGTCCACAAGTCGTCCCCGGCTCAAAGGCCCGGTGGACAGTACCATGCGTGAAGGTTAGGCCTCTGTTGGGATTACATGGATGAACACTAACGGCGGCGTGGTGCGTTCACTTGCCTACAGAACGGTCAGACTCCTCTGATGGTGGCGGCGGAGCAGGGCAGCCTGGAGATTGTCCAGGAGCTCCTGAGGCGAGGAGCCAACGTCAACCTGGACGACGTGGTGAGTGAATCCAATGCACCTCCTCCTGCTGCTGTCTCTCACCACTCCGGTTTTCAGTTCTGTTAGAATGCCTCTCCGGCTTCACTGACTCGGGATGCTGCGGTTGCTAGGAGAGGAGCTTGTTTCCGTGGTAACCCCCCCCTGTGTGTGTGTGTGTGTGTGTGTGTTGGTACCAGGACTGCTGGTCGGCTCTAATCTCTGCAGCTAAAGAAGGTCACGTGGAGGTGGTGAAGGAGCTGCTGGAGAACAGCGCCTACATTGAGCACAGAGACATGGTGAGACCGCCAAGCATCATGGGACATGTAGTCAACCACAGCAGTCTTCACACTGTAGTGGCTGGAAACTGTGACTCAGATCCCAGAGGATAAATCCACATATTGAAATGACTACATGAGTGTGTGGAATACATCTAAGTACATATATATCTATAAATATAGTTATATATACACCGTATGTACTTAGATATACTTGTATGGGTAAGATAGACGTATCATGCTTCTGTTACAGGGCGGCTGGACGGCTCTCACCTGGGCGGCTTACAAAGGTCGCGTGGAGGTCAGCGAGCTGCTGCTGGAGAACGGAGCCAACCCCAACACTACGGGACAGGTAACACACACAGAGCGGAACGACCTTTGACCCCAGCAGGTGTTTAAAGTGGACACTGAGTAACCCGCTCCAGCAGGCCCCCGGAGGGGGGGGAAGCTGATGTGGGTGCTCACGTGTCAGGGTGGAACTGCTTGTTCTGTAACTGTAGCTTGATCATGCTAGCTAGCATGCTAACTAGCTTGATGCTACATAGGTTAAATACAAAGGCGAATGTTTATTCTACTTTCCCTTTTCTCAATTTAGAAAAAAAATGAAGGTCAACCCGATAATTAGTCATTGTCT